TAATCAGAGGCTAATTTATAGCTATAAAGAAGAATCAAAATCAACACCTTAACTCAACATCTCCAACAATTAGAAAAAGAACAGCAAGAAAAGCCTAGAGTCATCAGAAGAAAAGAAATAATAAAGATTCAAGCAGAAATAAATGAAACAGAAAATAGAAAGACAATAGAAAAATCAACAAGACTAGAAGTTGGTTCCATGAAAAGATTAGTAAAATCAGCAAACTTAACAAAGGAAAACAGGGAGAGTATGCAAATAAAGTGAATAAGAAACAAATTGGGCAATGTCACATAACAATCAACTGAATTAAAAAGGATAATATTAGAATACTATGAAGAACTGTATGCCAACAAATTTGAAAATCTAGAAAAAATGGACAGATTTCTAGAAACATACTACTTACCTAAACTAACAAAGACTGAGGTGGAAAAGCTGAACAGATTCAAAACAAAAGAAGAAATTGAACAGGTCATTAAAAAATTACCAACAAAAATACAGTCCTGGCCTAGATAGTTTTACTGGAGATTTATGCCAAATGTTCAGAGAAGAACTGGCACCAATCTTAATCAAGCTATTCCAGAACACAGAAAAGGATGGAATCCTCCCAAATTAGTTTTATGAAGCAAGCATAACATTGATACCAAAAGTAGGTAAAGACATCACTAAAAAGTAAAACTACAGACCAATATCCCTCATGAATATAGACACAAAAACCTTCAACAAAACCCTAGCCAATAGACTCCAACAACATATCAAAAAAATAATAATAATTCATTATGACCAAGTGGGGGTTCATACCAGGTACGCAAGGATGGTTCAACATTACAAAAACAATCAATGTAATCCATCATATAAGTAAAATAAAGGAAAAGAGAACCATATGATCATATTAATCGATGCAGAAAAGCCATCTGATAAAATCCAACACTCATTCCTGATTTAAAAAAACAAAAACTCTCAGCAGAAGAGAAATAAATAGAAGGGAAATTCCTCAACATAATAAAGGACATATATGCAAAAACAACAGCTAGCATTATTCTCAATGAAGAGAGACTGAAACCATTCCTCATGCAAAAGGGAGCCAGACAAGGATGCCTTCTATCACCACTTCCATTCAACATTGTATTAGAAGTTCTAGCTAGAGCAGTAAGGCAAAAAAGGGAAATCAAAGGCATCCAAATTGGTAAGGAAGAAGTCAAACTATCCCTATTTGCTAATGATATGGTCCTATACATAGAAAATCCAAGAGACTTAGCAAGAAAACTACGGAACTAATTGAGAGATTTAGCATAGAGGCAGAATACAAGATCAACATACAGAAATCATTTGGAGTTCCGGCAAGATGGCGAACTAGGCATAAGGACTGCACAGACGCTCTTCAACAAAGAAAAGGGAAACCAATTAACACAGACACAGAAGATAATCTTGGACCCCTGAGCCTTGAAGGGAAG